CTGTTTCCCCAGCCAACAATTCAACTCAGCCAGGAAACTTTATTGCCCTTAACATGTGAAACATTAGAGCACGTGGCAATGGTGGGAGGAAGGGAACCCTCCCCTTTCCAACGGAATGTAGGACCAACCTAGTTGCTTCAGTGTGTGAACCGAGGCCGTATAGCAAAATGAGAGAGAGGGAATAGAAAGGAAAACATCTCACCAACCACATCCTTGGAGAAAGGAAAGCATTAGGTACACTTGTAGACTTTCAATCACGAAAGGGAGTCCAACCAGTCCACCGCCGAAGCAGGGTCATCAAAATAGTGATTGGTACTCTTATATTGAACCCGAAGCTTGCTGGGGTACAACATACTGTATTGAAGACCCCTTTCCCTAAGCCTCTTCCGGACATCAACAAAGGATATGCAATGTTTTTGCAGCTCAGGTGAAAAATCAGGAAAAAAGTGCAGATCAGCATTTTCAAACCTCAGGGATTGTTGTTTTCTTGCCTCCATCAAATGAGGCCCTGAAAATTCAGTAACCGAACCAGGAAGGAGCGTGGGGGGGCCCCAGGAGTCCTGGATCCCATTGGGACTCTGTGCCCGTTCCACCTGGTAGGCCGTGAAGACCATTTGCAAATTTAACACTTGCCTAAAAAAGCCCTCAGCAAAGACAGCAGGATTGTCCTCTTCAGCACCCTCAGCAAGCCCCATTACTCATACATTGTTCCGGTGCAATCTGTTTTCAGCATCATCAGATTGGGCCATAAGAAGAGTAACAGTGTGCTGTAAGTCTGACAGGGTGTGGGCCTGAGAGGATGTGGTATCTTCAACCTCAGAAATGTGGGTTTCTGCGGTGCCCAGGTGGCCCCTAATCTTGTCCAGGTCTTTTCTGATAAGCCCATATTCTAATGCCAAAGTGTCTATCTTGAACATGAGCGATGATTTACTTGCTTCTATGGCTGCCAGGTGAGTACAAGTAGCGGAATCCCCAGGTAAAGCCTCCACAGGAAAGAGGGACACATCCCTGGGCACAGCATCCCCGTCTATCATGTCCCACCAGGCAGTCTGCACCACCACTGAGTGTTTGGCCGGCACACATGTAGGCAAGATAGCCACGCCACGTGTAGTAGGAGGGAAGCTCCGAGCCCCAGTACAGGGGAATTTCTTTGCCGGTGTCTTCCGGGACGGCATGGGCAAAGAGGGCTCAGGTCCCCAGGCAGAGTTGAGTGGTCGGCTGAGCAGGATGGCGGCTAGGCGCTCCCCCTAGACAGGATAAATGAGCAGGATAGTCGGAGCCTCAGAAGAACACGTCACACGCTGGTTCACATCTAAGCCACACCCCCATGTAGTATCTTTAATTACTAATTTATTGGTATTTATTCACCATAAAGTTATAAAATCCAGTGGAAATGTGCCTCTTTAAATGTACATTACTTCCTTAAGGAACAATGCCAGAATCATCTTTATATACAATAGAACCTCTCTTCCTGTCAAATGTTATGAAGTCACACAGTTCCACCCCAAAGTGTTTCAGCACACCCGCTGCAGCCTAATAATGGAGACTGGGAGCTGTGACACATGTTCCTGTATACTCTTTATTGCCATACTCCTGTTTTGTTTTTTTGTATTATTTGGAGCATAGTAATTTTTGCACATTTTATTTAAAGAAAAATTTTATTTCTCTTATATATAATTTTTCATATCTTAGCACATGGATTGAATTAGCAGAATTTCAGTGTATATTATATGGTTCACAGGTAAAATAATATATAACTGGTAGGATTGGCACATAGTATTAATGTGTAATTGCACTGCACTTTTTGAATAATTATATTCTCATACACGACCTTCTACGTGGTCTGTGAATAACACAAAGACCGTACCACATTCTAAGTATTTATCTCCATGTACATCACTTACCTAGAAATTTTCTGTGAGTGGGCAATGCACTTTCCAAGCATTTTGAATTTCAATATATTTTATTATTTTTCAAACTGGAAATATAATATTTACACATTATGAACAGAGCAGAATTTAAAATAGGTTAGGTTTCTTGGATAATTGACTACACATCAGTTTAGGAACATATTTTTTCTACTCACAGTAATGCTTATTGATAATACATTTAAGGAATAGCATTTGAGAGTTCTTAAAACTATCAGTTATAGGCCATATATCACAGATTGGCCCATGTTAGCACAATAAAGTGAAATTGAACTGTACTACAATAGGGTTTTGTGTTAAATGATTACACTATAACCCAAACATATCTACCCATATTTGCAGGGAATCAGAAAATTTCCTTTATTTTACAATCTGGACCAGGCTCTTCCACTGAGGGAGTTCAAATGTCTCCTGGGGTGGCAGGCATGTATATCAAGTGGGCCAGTTGATAAATTAGGCCGGTCATGAACACCATAAATCAATTACAAAAAAAACCTATTGTGCAAACAAGAAAGAGAAAAGAGATAGGATAGAGTAAGAGGAATCTTCACAACAGGTATCCTACAATAGAACAGTCGTGGTCAACTTTCTTCATATGTATCTTCTTAGGTAAATCACCAAAGGGCTGCACTCAAAATTAAGTGAATATTCAGTCTCAGAGAAGGAAGACACCCAGCAGAATATAGTCAGAGACTATGGGCGTGATACAAAAGAAACTGTGGACATGATAAAAGAGATGATCACAGATTGCAGACATGATACAAGAAATGACTGCTGAGACAATGAGGGGCACACAAAAGGTGCAAAAGGGCCACAAGCACCCCCCCCCCCCAGCCACAAGTTGGGCCCCAGGGCAATAGAGCTTATGTGATGGAATTGTACTTGATCTGTGGATGCCAGATTGATTCAGATTTGTTTTGTGTATTGTTTAATATATTTGTCATTTTACCATTGATTATGATTCAGTTAAGTCTGCGTTTAACCAGGTCAGGAAAGACCACAGACGTCTGCCAACAGGAAGCAATTGTTATTCTAGCTGTCAAAAATATGCAGGAGATGAGTTTACCAGTCCCCTTGGTGATACTTGGAAACATGGTGCTTATTAAAGCACCCATAGGTGACGTGTGCATTTTAGCAATGCATGACTATTAACCTTTTTGAGCTGGAACACACTATAAGTGATGTGCTAAGTTAGACACTGAATCACATTGTATTTTGTTTTCTGTGTAAACTATGGGGTGAATTTACTGAAGGCGAATGAACTGTGCACTTTGCAAGTGGTGAAGCTTCACTTTGTAAAGAATACGCAATCAGATGCAATAAACCCCCCCCCCCCCCCCAAAAAATTGCATTGCACTGATGCAAGGCTACATCAGTGCATTGCACTGATGTAAGGCTTGGATGCAGCTACTCGACCATGGAAACCCATTCCATGAAGCTCTCTATGCACTGTTGTTGTGCTAATCTGAAGGCCACATGAAGTTTGGAGGTCTTTAGCTATTGACTCTGCAGACAGTTGGTGACTTCTGCGCACTCTGCGCTTCAGCATGCGCTGACCCCGCTTTGTCATTTTACGTGGTCTACCACTTTGTGGCTGTTGTTCCCAGGTGCTTCCACTTTGTTATAATACCACTAACAGTTGACCATGGGAATATTCAATCAGATGCAATAAACCCCCCCCCCCCCCCCAAAAAAAAAACTAATTTTTGCTTGCACATGATTGGATGATGGAAATCAGCAAAGCTTCATCACATTCACTAAACTCTAAGGAAAATGAGTGCAACTGCATTTGCAGAGAGCACAGTCTATTTGCCTTTAGTAAGTCCACCCCTATACACTATATTGTCAAAAGTATTGGGACGCCTGATTTTACATGCATATGAACTTTAATGACATCCCAGTCTTAGTCCGTAGGGTTCAATATTGAGGGGAAGGCTGTCCATAAGGTTTAGGAGTGTGTTTATGGGAATGTTTGACTCTTCTTCCAGAAGCACAATTGTGAGGTGAGGTACTGATGTCAGACAAAAAGGCCTGGGTCCCAGTCTCCACTCTAATTCATCCCAAAGGTGTTCTATCAGGTTGTGGTCAGGACTTTGGGCAGGCCAGTCAAGTTTCTTCCACAGGAACAGGAAGAGGCCATCCCCAAACTGTTCCCACAAAGTTGGGAGCATGAAATTGTCCAAAATGTCTTGGTATGTTGATGCCTTAAGAGTTCTCTTCACTGGAACTAGGGGGCCAAGCCCAACCCCTGAAAAACAACCCTACACCATAACCCCTCCTCCACCAAACCTTACATTTGGCACAACGCAGTCAAGCAAGTATCGTTCTCCTGGCACCGCTAAACCCAGACATGTCCATTGGCTTGCCAGACAGAGAAGCATGATTTGTCACTCCAGAGAACACATCTCCACTGCTCTAGAGTCCAGTGGTGACGTGCTTTACGCCACTGCATTCAACTGTTTGCATTGCACTGATGTAAGGCTTGGATGCAGCTACTCGACCATGGAAACCCATTCCATGAAGCTCTCTATGCACTGTTGTTGTGCTAATCTGAAGGCCACATGAAGTTTGGAGGTCTTTAGCTATTGACTCTGCAGACAGTTGGTGACTTCTGCGCACTCTGCGCTTCAGCATGCGCTGACCCCGCTTTGTCATTTTACGTGGTCTACCACTTTGTGGCTGTTGTTCCCAGGTGCTTCCACTTTGTTATAATACCACTAACAGTTGACCATGGAATATTTAGTAGCAAGGAAATTTCATGGATGGACTTATTGCACAGGTGGCAGCCTATCATGGTACCACACTTGAATTCACTGAGCTCCTGAGAGCGACCCATTCTTTCATAAATGTTTGTAGAAGCTGTCTGCATGCCTAGGTGCTTGATTTTATACAGCTGTGGCCGTGGAGGTGACGAACACACCCAATCCAATGATTTGGAGTAGAGATGAGCGAAGTATTCAAAAATTCGATTCGACTGATTCGGCGAATTCGTGGAAAAATTTTGATTCGAGTCGAATATATTCGCTGCGAATTTAACTTATAAAAGTGGTGTTTCTAGGCTTCAGAGAGACTTTATATTAGTGCAGAACACTGTACCTTTAATTTAAATGCCCTTGGAGTCTGCTGGGGGAAGAGAAATAATACTGACAGTCAGTATGACATGCAGATGAGTGCCGTCGATCTTAGAATCATCGCACACTTCACTCATTTGGGCAGTCACGGGGCCAAACCAGAGTGTGGAGCCACAGTGTGGCGGTGGAGGCAGCAGCAATGGGAGGCCATACAGCACCCTATGACAAAAATGGAAACCACCAGCAGTGTGAGGAGACTGAAAGTGGCACATGGCAGAGTGTGGCGATGGAGACAGCAGCAATGGGAGGCCGTACAGGGACCCATGACACACTCTGGACCTGGCAGCAGCATGAGGAGGCGGTACAGGGGCCCATGACAGATTACGGGCCTGGCAGCAGCATGAGGAGTTGGTACGGGGGCCCATGGCAGATTACGGGCCTGGCAGCAGCAATGGGGAGGCCGTACAGGGACCCATGACACACTCTGGACCTGGCAGCAGCATGGGGAGGCGGTACAGGGGCGCATGACAGATTACGAGCCTGGCAGCAGCAACTTGGACAGGAGGACGTTCAGCTTCTGCACCGTCGGGTGCGTGCTCGCAAACTGTTGTCTCTTGGAAACGGATTCCAAGAAAGACTGCTGACGGAATCCGTGAAGAGGAGTAGCAGGAGAAGGAGCATCTGAACGAGCGGAATATGCCACAACAAGCGACAACAGGGCCCATGACAGATTACGGGCCTGGCAGCAGCATGAGGAGTCGGTTACGGGGGCCCATGGCAGATTAGGGGCCTGGCAGCAGCTATGGAGGCCCGTAATCTGCCAGCAACCCTATGACAAAAAATGGAACCCACCAGCAGTGTGAGGAGACCTGAAAGTGGCACATGGCAGAGTGTGGCGATGGAGACAGCAGCAATGGGAGGCCGTACAGGGACCCATGAGAGACTCTGGACCTGGCAGCAGCATGAGGAGGCGGTATAGGGGCCCATTGGCAGATTAGGGGCCTGGCAGCAGCTATAGGAGGCCCGTAATCTGCCAGCACCCTATGTCAAAAAATTGAACACACCAGCAGTGTGAGGAGACCTGAAAGTGGCACATGGCATGAGACACTCTGTGGACCTGGCAGCAGCATGAGGAGGCGGTACAGGGGCCCATGGCAGATTAGGGGCCTGGCAGCAGCTATGGGAGGCCCGTAATCTGCCAGCACCCTATGTCAAAAAAATTGAACACACCAGCAGTGTGAGGAGACCTGAAAGTGGCACATGGCATGAGACACTGTGGACCTGGCAGCAGCATGAGGAGGCGGTACAGGGCCCCATGGCAGATTAGGGGCCTGGCAGCCAGCTATAGGAGGCCCGTAATCTGCCAGCACCCTATGACAAAAAATTGAACACACCAGCAGTGTGAGGAGACCTGAAAGTGGCACATGGCAGAGTGTGGCGATGGAGACAGCAGCAATGGGAGGCCGTACAGGGACCCATGACAGACTCTGGACCTGGCAGCAGCATGAGGAGGCGGTAATAGGGGCCCATGGCAGATTAGGGGCCTGGCAGCAGCTATAGGAGGCCCGTAATCTGCCAGCACCCTATGTCAAAAAATTGAAACACACCAGCAGTGTGAGGAGACCTGAAAGTGGCAACATGGCATGAGACACTGTGGACCTGGCAGCAGCATGAGAGGCGGTACAGGGGCCCATGGCAGATTAGGGGCCGGCAGCAGCTATGGGAGGCCCCGTAATCTGCCAGCACCCTATGTCAAAAAATTGAACACACCAGCAGTGTGGTGAGGAGACCTGAAAGTGGCACATGGCAGAGTGTGGCGATGGAGACAGCAGCAATGGGAGGCCGTACAGGGACCCATGACAGACTCTGGACTTCGGCAGCAGCATGAGGAGGCGGTATAGGGGCCCATGGCAGATTAGGGGCCTGGCAGCAGCTATGGGAGGCCCGTAATCTGCCAGCCCACCCTATGTCAAAAAATTCAACACACATCAGCAGTGTGAGGAGACCTGAAAGTGGCACATGGCATGAGACACTGTGAGACCTGGCAGCAGCATGAGGAGGCGGTACAGGGGCCCATGGCAGATTAGGGGCCTGGCAGCAGCTATAGGAGGCCCGTAATCTGCCAGCACCCTATGACAAAAAATGGACACACGGACCAGCAGTCTGAGGAGACCTGAAAGTGGCACATGGCAGAGTGTGGCGATGGAGACAGCAGCAATGGAGCCGTACAGGGACCCATGAGAGACTCTGGACCTGGCAGCAGCATGAGAGCGGGTACAGGGCCCATGGCAGATTAGGGGCCTGGCAGCAGCTATGGGAGGCCCGTAATCTGCCAGCACCCTATGTCAAAAAATTCAACACACCAGCAGTGTGGTGAGGAGACCTGAAAGTGGCACATGGCAGAGTGTGGCGATGGAGACAGCAGCAATGGGAGGCCGTACAGTGACCCATGACAGACTCTGGACTTGGCAGCAGCATGAGGAGGCGGTATAGGGCCCATGGCAATTAGGGGCCTGTTGGGCAGCAGCTATAGGAGGCCCGCTTAATCTGCCAGCACCCTATGTCAAAAAATTGAACACACCAGCAGTGTGAGGAGACCTGAAAGTGGCACATGGCATGAGACACTGTGGACCTGGCAGCAGCATGAGGAGGCGGTACAGGGGCCCATGGCAGATTAGGGGCCTGGCAGCTGCTATGGGAGGCCCGTATCTGCCAGCAGCCCTATGTCAAAAAATTCAAACACACCAGCAGTGTGTGAGGAGACCTGAAAGTGGCACATGGCAGAGTGTGTGCGATGGAGACAGCAGCCCAATGGGGGAGGCCGTACAGGGACCCATGACAGACTCTGGACTTAGGCAGCAGCATGAGGAGGCGGTATAGGGGCCCATGGCAGATTAGGGGCCTGGCAGGCAGCTATGGGAGGCCCGTAATCTGCCAGCACCCTATGTCAAAAAATTCAAACAACTACCAGCAGTGTGAGGAGACCTGAAAGTGGCACATGGCAGAGACACTGTGGACCTGGCAGCAGCATGAGGAGGAGGTACAGGGGCCCATGGCAGATTAGGGCCTGGCAGCAGCTATGGGAGGCCCGTAATCTGCCAGCACCCTATGTCAACCAAATTCAATGGAACATACCAGCAGTGTGAGGAGACCTGAAAGTGGCACATGGCTGTGTGGCGATGGAGACAGCAGCATGGAGGCCGTACAGGGACCCATTAGAGACTAGGACCTGGCAGCCAGCATGAGGAGGCGGGTATAGGGGCCCATGGGCAGATTAGGGGCCTGGCAGCAGCTATGGGAGGCCCGTAATCTGCCAGCACCCTATGTCAAAAAATTCACAACACACCAGCAGTGTGTGAGGAGACCTGAAAGTGGCACATGGCAGAGGTGTGGCGATGGAGGACAGCAGCAAATGGGGGGCCGTACAGGGACCCATGAGAGACTCTGGACCTGGCAGCAGCTATGAGGAGGCGGTATAGGGGCCCATGGCAGATTAGGGGCCTGGCAGCTATGGGAGGCCCGTAATCTGCCAGCACCCTATGACACATAAAATGGAACACACCAGCAGTGTGAGTAGACCTGAAAGTTGGCACATGGCAGGGGCGATGATTCATGGCGGATTTAATCAGATTGTGTCAGGAACTGGTGTGTTTGAAATCCAGACTAATCCACGCCTTGATTCATTTTCACAAACGTGAGTCACTCCACACTTTCGGGTGGACAGTCGTGTCCTCCGCGGAGTTACAATACCTCCTGCCGCACTAAACACGCGCTCCGATGCCACGCTACTGGCCCGGGCATGACAGCCTTTCAAGGGCAAATTCAGCTTAGTTGGGCCAAAGGTCAAGTTTCGTTGCCCAGTAGTCAAGGGGATTGTCTACCTCGGTTGGCAGGGTGCTGTCCAAGTAGGCCCAAGCCTGTTGTTTGAGGTCCTGCTCCAGGTCCACCTGATGCTGCTGCTGCTGCGGCTGGTTAGTAGTTTCCTCACTGCGCTGGTGAAGAAAAGCTACTCATCATCGACTGCAGACTGAGGCAGCCGCTGCTGGTGGAGCTACCACTGCTCCTACCACACCCACCCCTCCCCTGCTGCCATGTCAGCGGAACGTGAGCGCACAGGGCCCACAGTGTCTGAGGATGGACGTTGGCGCACAAAGGCAGAGACCAACTGACTACATAGGTGGTTTTTATAGTACGTTATTTTGGCCTCCCTCTCAGCAGGTGTGAAAAAGGCCACACATTTTTGAACGGTAGCGAGGGTCCAACAAGGTGGACAGCCAAAAGTCATCCCTCTGTCTGATGGTTATTATTCAGCTGTCGCTATGCAATGCAACCGAGCATGCTATGGGCCATTTGTGCCAAGGAATGCGAGGGACTCCCTGCCTCCATCTCCACAGCATACTGCCACGGTGCGTTGCGATCTGGGTCCTCTGTCTCCTCCTCCTCCTCCTCTACCACATGCTCCTGCTCCTCCACTCTGCTTGGTTCCGCTGAGTGGAAAAACCACTCCATTTCACTCAATAATTCCTGAGCACAAATGTCCTCCTCTACCTCCTCCTCTTCTTCCTGTCCTGCCCCCACAGGGGTCATGTGGCGTTGAGATCTGTGCGCCACGTTACCGCACCCTGACCAGCCATTGTTAACAGCATTTGTTCCAGGAACGTGCAACAGAGGAATGACGTCGTTCATCCCATAGTCCTGCCGACTCACGCTAATAGCGTGGACTCCTCAAAGGGCCTGAGCAAGCGGCAGGTGTCACGCATGAGCTGCCAATGGCTGACATCGAAGTTTACACAGGGGAGAGTGACCTTTATCCGCTTGTAACATCAGGAAATCGGTGATGGCCTTTCGCTGTTCGTAAAGGCGGTACTAAACATGTGTAGGGTTGAATTCCACCTTGTTTGCAAACGTCGCAGATCAGGCGATGCTGTGGAATTCCGTTCTGCCGCTGCAGCTCAAGGAGGGTGTGCTTTGCGGTGTAGGAATGGCTGAAATGCATGCAAAGTTTACGTGACATTTTAAGGATGTCTTGCAGTGGGATGGTGGATTTTAGGAACCGCTTGACAACCAGAATTGAAACACGTGAGCCATACATGGCGCATGGCACAACCTTCCTTGACGCAGAGCAGACACCATGTTCTTTCCGTTGTCGGTCAACATGGTTCCGATTTTCAGTTTGCGCGGAGACAGCCATCTGTCGATTTCTCTGTTCATTACACTGAGAAGTTCCTCCCCTGTGTGACTACGTTCGCCAAGGCATACCAGGTGCAGCACAGCGTGACACTGTTGCGCCCTGCACATGTGATATGTCGGTCGGGTAATGGGACTTGGCACGGGGGGTGGCGGCTGAGGACACGCGGGAAGAAGAGGTGGTAGAGGCGGACATCTTTGCCGGACCAAGGACGTGCAAACGTGGAGGCAAAAGCGGCGTGACCTGTCCAAGTTGCTGGTGCGGCTGTGATGGCACCACGTTCACCCAGTGGGCCGTAAATGACATGTACTGTCCCCTGACCGTAGTTACAGCTCCACACGTCGGTGCACTTTTGGCAGAGACCGACATGCTCAAAGACTGGCCCACCATCTCTTCTACATGTGAATGCAGGGCTGGCACTGCCTTTTTGGCGAAGAAATGGACGGCTTGGCACTCTCCACCGCGGCGCGGCACAAGCCATCATTTCTCGGAAAGGTGCTGAGTCCACCACTTGGAAAGGGAGGGACTGCAGCACCAGCAACTTGGACAGGAGGACGTTCAGCTTTTGCACCGTCGGGTGCGTGCTCGCAAACTGTTGTCTCTTGGAAACGGATTCCAAGAAAGACTGCTGACGGAATCTGTGGAACAGGAGTAGCAGGAGAAGGAGCATCTGAACGAGCGGAAGATGGCAACGAGCGACAACTCCCTCAGCAGAGGTGTTGGAGCCTTGACTGGCTGATAGAGGGCGATTGACGTCGGGTGACGGAGCAAGTAACGGAGCGGGTGATGGAGCGGGGGCTGGGGGGGCAGAACCGCCGTATCTTTAATCACGGTTTTTCCCAGGCCACCAAATGGGCGACGCTGCATATGCTGCCGCAACGCTGTAGTCCCAACATGGGCCCCCTGGCCACGCTTGACTTTCTGGCCACATAGTCGACATACGGCTACGTTTACTTCCTCGGGCGGCTTGACAAAAAATTGCCACACCGCCGAGTAGGAAACTTTGCCCCCGATACTCCTCACTGGCTGACTGCTGCTTCCTCCGTGCACACCGGCACCACTACTGGCCGTGGT